GCAGCATTTGCAATTAAACCTACTGTGCCGTTTTCACACTGAATCGTGAAATGCTGACTTGGAGAAGGGCCCTCTGCCTGGACTGGACTTGACCTACCAGAGCATATCTCTGCATCCTCAACACCTCAGATCTCATCAGTTTAACGGACTGAATTGCTAGAATGTTCTAGGCAAAGCACCTGGAGGAATCTCACCTACTATGTGAGTCACAGAGGTGACTCCACAGTCTTTTCTTTACTATTTAACTACAGGCAGCTGTGGGAGCTCTGGTGACGTAGTGCCTAAGGCATTTGACTACTAACCAGAAGGCTGGTGTTTCAAACCCACCAGCCACTCCTCAGAAGGATGATTGGGCAATCTACTTCCATAGAGATACTGCCTCACAATCTACTTCTGTAGAGATACTGCCTTGGGAAACCCAAGGAGGGGTTGTTATGGGCTGAGGTGACTAGACTGCAGTGAGTTTAGTTTTTTTTTTTTGGACAGGCAGCTGTGAAAGATCCAGGTGTTGTGCAACCCACCAAGTGCCCTTCTTCCCCCATTCAAGCTCTTTGACTTTCAAGTAGAGTCTCCATGTAACCTGAAGTCCTTAACATACAGATGGGAATTATTGTAACTAACACTGTTTCCCATTCAGGGGTTCCACCAGGTGTGGTCAACATTGTGTTTGGAACCGGGTCCAGAGTAGGCGAGGCCCTGGTGTCCCATCCTGAAGTACCCCTGATCTCCTTCACTGGGAGCCAGCCCACAGCTGAGAGGATCACACAGCTGAGTGCCCCCCACTGCAAGAAGCTGTCCCTGGAGCTGGGGGGTAAGAATCCTGCCATTATCTTTGAGGATGCAAACCTGGAGGAATGCATTCCGGAAACCATCAGGTCCAGCTTTGCCAACCAGGTATGTCTTGTGAGTTTTCCTCTCGGTGGTTCTGTCAATCTGGATCCGTTCATTATCACGCAAACCCTGGACAGTGAGTAGGTCAATCCAGTGCCATTTCAGCAAAAGGAGAATTATGGCCTTGTTTGTGTCATTCCGTTGACTGTATGTTCATCTCAATGTCAATTGCCGGTCTTGGAAAGTCACAGCTTCTATCCAACAACATCCTCTTCTTGAATTATGCAACTCTTATCACTTATCAGAGATGGGCAAAGTGGTTGATTTCTGCTGCTCCAAGTTTCTTCATCCTTTTTTTTTTTTTTTTTCCATAGGGTTGTCCAGTATTCTATTGCCATCCGTTCTTATTCTCCCCTTAAAGTCACCCACAGTGGATCTGCACACTGAGATATAAATACCTAGAGCAAGTTTCTTTCTTTGGAATCATGGATGAACTTCAGGGCATCTTTGTGTCTCCTGGAGTTGTATAGCTAGACATTTGACTGCTAACTAAAGGCTGGTGGTTCAAACCCACCAGCCATTCCTCAGAAGTAAGGTTGGGCAATCTACTTCCGTAGTGATACCACCTTGGAAACCCAAGGAGGGGGTCACTGTGAGTCGGATCTGACTCAATGGCAGTTTTTTTTTTTTTTTTTTTTAGTTTTGATCAGATTCTTCAAGGTCCTGGGAATTCCAAAGGGATAAAAGCACTAGATCAAATCCACTAGAATGGTAACTGAGTCTGTATTTGCTCAACACTTTTGTCATCAAAACCTACAAATAGTGCCTAGGACATAATAGTTGTACATAAATACTGAATTTTTATTTTCAGTTTCAGGATATTTTTATTTTAACAGAGAACAAAGACTTAAGACGAAGAGTTAGAATTTCAATATGAGGAAAAAGGAGTGGAATGAGGTGTATCTTTATTTACCCAACTCAGGTAATATTAGAAGCTCTGGTAGCATAGTACCTAAGGCACTTGACTGCTAACCAGAAGGCTGGCAGTTCAAACCCACCAGCCACTCCTTGGAAGGAAGGTTGGGCAATCTACTTCCGTAGTGATACTGCCTCGGAAACCTAAGGAAGGGTTGCTATGAGTTGGGTCTGACTTGACGGCACATGACAACAACAACAACAAATCATGGTAATAATAATATGCCTTCTAACAGGGTTTTTGTGTGTGTAGAATGAAAAACTATTTTAATTCTTCATAGCTATTATTGTTTTATTTTATTCATTGATTGATTATAACATTTTATTGTAGTTTGGGTGAAAGTTCACAGAGCATGTTAGTTTCCCATTCAACAATTTATACACATTTTGTTTCATGACATTAGTTGCAATTTAATAGCACTCTTTCTACTTCCTCCCTGGGTTCCCTGTTTCCATTCATCTTTTTTCCAGCCTGTCTCTGCCTGCTGAACTTTGCTTTTGGGCAAATGCTGCCCTATTGGTCTTGTACAGTTGTTCTGAGAAGTACCTTCCTCATGGGTGTCATTGTTCACTTTATAGGCCTGTTTGTTTGATTGAAAGGTGATCATCAGGAGTGGGTTCTGTTCCAGGTTTGAAGAGCATCTAAAGGCCATAGTCTCAGGGGTTCCACTAGTTTCTGTCAGAGCAGTATGTCTGCTCTTTTTTTTTTTTTTTAATTTTGAATTTTGTTCTACATCTGTCTTCTATTCTGTCCAGTACCTTCTTTTATGATCCCAATCAAAGCAATTGGTAGTGTAGCAGTAGGTAGTGGTCTTAGGCTAGTGGAGGTTCTGTTTCATGTGGTCCATTAGTATTTTGGACTAATCATTTCCTTAAGTCTTTGATTTTCTTCACTTTTCTTTCCTCTGGATGGGGAGAGATGAATAGTTTCATCTTAGATGGATGCTCACAGGCTTTAAAGACTCCAGTTGCTACTCACCAAAGTAGGATGTAGAATATTGTCTTTGCAGACTATGTTTTGCGAATTGACCTATATGAACCCTGAGACTATATTCCTAAGCCCCCAAGCCCAATGACTTAGTCTTTTAAGGTGTTTGGTTATGGCTAAAAATTTTTGTATCTTTTCCCCTGTATGCTCTACTATATACTTGGGTATATTTGCATCACATACAAATATGTGTGTAGAAATATCTTCCATCAAGCCTGTATATGTACTTGCAGGTGTACTCCCATACACCATCCCACACCTGTTCATCTTGCATATTTACCTATGTATCCACTTGTCAATTATTGCTTGTTTTTACTGTTACTGCCTGATTATGTAGGTACTAATATTGACCATTGTTACCTGTTACTCTGACCTACCTCCAGGGTCTTCCTTTGCCTTGGTCATGTTATGCTGACCTCTCCCTTTTTGTATATTGCCTTTCCCTTCACCCAAGTTAACATATGTCTACTTTCTAGTTAGTGATTTTCCCTCCCCCACTCCATTCTTGGTAACCATCAAAGAATGTTTCTTTCTGTGTATAACCTTTTCCTGACTTTTTTATAGTACTGGTTTCATACAATATTTGCCCTTTTCTGATTGACTTATTTCACTCAACAAAATGACCTCCAGGTTCATCCATATTATTAGAGGTTTCATGGATTTATCATTATTCTTTAATGTTGCCTAGTATCTCATTGTGTATATGTACTATAGTTGGTTTATATATTCATCCACTGATGGGCACTTAGATTGTTTCTGTCTTTTTGTTATTGTGAATAATGCTGCGATAACATTGGTATGCATATATCTGTTTGTGTCATGGCTCTTATTTCTCTAGAATATATAACTAGTAGTGGGATTGCTAAGGAGCTCTGGTGGTGTAGTGCCTAAGGGATTTGACTGGTAACCAGAAGGTTGGTGGTTCAAACCCACCGGCCACTTCGCAGAAGAAAAACTGGGCAATCCACTTCCATGAAGACTTACCATCTCGGAAACCCAAAGGGGGTCACTATAAGTCAGAATTGGCTTGATGGCAGTATGTTTTTTTGAAATGGGATTGCAGGATTATATGGTACCTCCATTTTGAATTTAAGGGAGTCCTGTACCATTTTGGGGAGCTCTGGTGGTGTAGTGCCTAAGGCATTTGACTGCAAGCCAGAAGGCTGGCTGTTCAAACCCACCAGGCACTCCTTGGAAGGAAGGTTGGACAATCTACTTCAGTAGAGATACTGCTTCAGAAACCTATGACTTGGATCCAACTCCATGGCAGTGAGTTTGGTTTAGTTTTTGTACCATTTTACTGTCCCACCAGCAGTGTGTGAGAGTTCCATTCTTTCCACACCCTTGCCAGCATTTGTTGTTTTCTGTTTTTTCGATCATTGCTATTATTACCAGGGTGAGATGATATTTCATTATAACTATTATTTTCATGCTAATAATTGTAATTATTTCACCATAATTCTCAGAAAAAATGGTAAGAAATACATAGAGTTTCTGGATCAATAGACATAATGCAATTTCATAGTTAAATGAGTAAGTATCAAAGTATTAAACTAAGCATTTTGATGTCTTAATGTCACAACAAGAGAGGAGCAAGTTTTGTAGACTGAGAAACTGAGGAGAGAGGAGATTAGGTGAACTCTCTACACTAAAGTAAACTGGTTCTGAGCATGGGGATGGCCTGTAGGTTCCGTGGCTACCAGAATTGTGCCAGGATTAGAGTTTGCCCAGAGGGCCTTCTTCTTGAAGATATTTTAACATGTCAGTAGGAAAGGGGGCATGGACTTAACTCCTTGTCCAGCCCAAGAGCCTTAGCAAAATAAAGCAAATTAATTTCTTTTGTTTAGATGAGTGAGAATTCCACGTAGTGCATATTTCTGTATCAATTAAACATTACTGGTTTGTTGCCTCTGTCTTGTGATACATGGTGTCAGAGCATGGTGTCATTTACACTTAGAGATATTACATGACATGGCAAAAATGTATGTGTCCTTTGGCATCACACACACTGGAAGTTGTGACTTCCCATGCTGTGTAGCCTTAAGTATACAGCTGTATTTGAAAAAAGAGTGCTGGTGGTGCTGTGGTTAAAGCACTGGGCTACTAAGCAAAAGGTCAGTGTTTTGAACACCCCCCCCCATGGGGGAAAGATGAAGCAATCTGTTTCTGTAAAGATTTACAGCCTTGGAAACCCTACAGAGCAGTTCTACTCTGTCCTATAGGGTCATGATGAGTCAGAATTGACTCGATGGCAGTAGGTATATTTGAAAATTCTAGTTCTTAATTGTAAACTGGGAAGAAAATACATCACAGGATTGATATGAGGAAAGCATCCTAAACAGTGCCTAGAATGTACTACTCACTGCTGTCGAGTTGATTTGACTCATAGAGACCCCTCCTTGGGTTTCCAAGGCAGTATCATTATGGAACTAGATTGCCCAACCTTCTTTCTGAGGAGTGGCTAGCGGGTTTGAACTGCCAGCCTTCTGGTTTGCAGTCAAATGCCTTAGGTACTATGCCACCAGAGCACCCCTAGAATATACTAGTCACTCAATAATTACTATTTGCCTTTTCCCATTTCTTCTAAAGTCATTTTCCTACGGCTCATTGTATCACCTATACGTTCCTGGCACCGAGTTTCTAGGAAACTTGGTAAAAAGCCCTCAAATCTTTTTATCATACCCTCTCCCCTGCCAAGTGTCACAGGGCATTTGTGCAAATGAAACCATTAGGGGTTCTGAGACTTCCCAGCCTAGATGTGCAAATAGTTTTCATAATGATTGTGGGTCACAGAAAGAATTTAATATTTCAAAACACTAACTATTTAATTTGGATAATGCACTTCTGTACAAATATCAAGATAATTAGAACCATCCTATTTCTGTGGATTGTGGTGAATATCACTTATTAATGTGGTGAAAATTGTTATTTATGTATCCATTTATTTATAATAAGATACATAGTGCTATGGAATATCTAGAATGTAGTTTGTAAACTATCACATGCTATATTCAAATGATAGGGTTTTTTACTAAAAAACTTCTCCCCTGAACTCTCAGCAATAGAACAATAGAACTCTGTCTATTACTGAAACCATTCCCCTTGCAAACAGGAGCCAGATAAGGATGCCCTCATCACCACTTCTATTCAACATTATACTGGAGTCCTAGCCAGGGCAATAAGGCAAGAAAGGGAAATCAAAGGCATCCAAATTGGTAAGGAAGAAGTCAAACTCTCCCTATTTGCTGATGATATGATCCTATACAATCTTGACAATCTAAGACTCAGTCAAAAATCTAGTGGAACTAATTGAGAGATTTAGCATCATGGCAGGATACAAGATCAACATCCAAAAATCAGTTGGATTCCTCTATACCAGCAAAGAGATTGCTGAAAAAGAAATAAGGAAATCAATACC